TATCTGGATCTCGTCTGTGATCGGATTCTGTCCAGAGAGACGAAGGAGTAGAGTAGTGTTGATTAGGTTTGTTCGTAAAAGATGAGCTGCGGGAATAATGGATACAACAGTTTGGAGATGGAGTACATTAAGAAGCATCATAGGCACGAGATTTCCGAGAATCAATGCACCTCCGTTCTCCTCAAGCACATCAAGGCCCCTGTTCATCTCGTAATTCATCTGATTTAACCTCCTAGATGTTTATTATTCTTCTCTTTCTCTATGTGGATTTACGTTTTTATTCTTATCTAGATTAATGTGTGTGGATATTCGATCAGATCTCGGAAGATTTTAATTTCGTTTAGGATGTTCTGTTCTCGTTACACGCAGATATCTTGAAGATATATGTTATATGAGTTTATAACTTATACGACGAGTAACGTGTGACGAATTAGATTCGAGAAGGGTAGGAATTTGGATACATATATAACTTTCATGTATTGCCTAAATATATGAGAGACAAGTGGTTTCACTAAATATTATTCTTCACATCTATCTATTTATGTCCATTGTTATACGAAATCACGCGAGTATTTTGGAGCGATACAGAATCATACTTGTTTTTAGAGTAATGAGGGGATGGTTTCATGGATCATTGCTTGACTGATGACTTGTGCTTGATTTTGATTGTAAGATGGATGAGATATTGTTGGAACCCTTTTTTCCGAAATTAATTACAGCTTTGTATGATGGATGGTAGTTTTCATTTCACATGGGTGGCTCCTTGATGTGGAAAAATGATGTTCAATCAATCTTGTTTAATTTTTGTGATTTGGTTTATACAGGTTTGGTCTTTGGTGAGAAGATTTGATGAACCACAAAAGTACAAGCCATTTGTTAGCAGATGTGTTGTTGCGGAGGGAAATGTTGAGATCGGTAGCCTTAGAGAAGTTGATGTTAAGTCGGGTCTTCCTGCGACTACAAGCACGGAGAGGTTGGAACTCCTTGATGACGACCAGCATATCTTTAGCATCCGGATTATTGGTGGGGATCACAGGCTGAGGGTGCGTAATCAAATGCAGCAGCTCTGTTTATAAGTATAATAATTAATTAAAGCAATGCGATATCTGTTTCTGTTGTACAAATTAATAAATACTAGTATGAGTTTTTGATGCAGAATTACTCTTCAATTATCTCGGTCCACCCAGAAATGACTGAAGGGGGGAGGCCAGGGACTCTAGTGGTGGAGTCGTTTGTTGTTGATGTGCCTGAAGGGAACACCAAGGATGAAACCTGCTACTTTGTGCAGGCACTCATCAAATGCAATCTCAAATCCCTTGCTGATGTGTCAGAACGCCTTGCAGTCCAAGACAGAACGGAGCCCATTGATCGGATTTAGTAAAAGTAAGATTAGATTTTGGATTTGGATTTGAAGGTACCACGGATGAAGCTTCTTTTAAGGCTGTATGGCTTTTGGTGACGGACTGGTACTCTCACCAAGTTTTTCCCCTTTTGTCTGTCTGTCTGTCTGTCTGTAGCCTCAAAAACCACACCACAGGTGTATACCCTCAAAATGCTTAATGCTAGCCAAGGTTTCTGTCTGTTGTTGAGGTTTTCAGCTTTGCTGGAATGCTGGTCATGGTCTAAGTCTAGTTGTGAATAAAATGTGATGGAAAACAGGTCTCTTGTGTATTCTATGTGTTTCATGGACCTAGCTTAATACATATACATATGTTTAAAACTGCAAACTACCACACCCACTCCACTTGATTCTACATGTTACACCTCTAGCCTGTTAGAGTATTAGGTATGGGCCAATGTTATAACACTAATTAACATGCCACCTCACTCTTAACATCATCTTAACACCGTATAGGAAATGGTGTTTCAATGTTATGACATGTTAAGAGCAAGAGATAGAAAGAGAATGAGAAGAATGTGATTGGCTAGTTTTCCATGTTGAAGCTCGTTGCCGTTACCACATTTTATGCCATAACACCATTTTGGAGTGGTGTTCATGGTGTTATAACGAGCTTATAAGGTGCCAACTCAGTCATAACGACTGATAACACGACTCACACCGTATGCTCTTAGGTTGCGTCTGTTAGGAACAGGACATGATGGGACTAGATTCTTTTGGGTTCGGTGCGGTTTCATACTCATCTTACTACTATTCACAATGCTAAATATAACTTTCTACTTTTGCCATATAATCTTTCAACTATCAACGGGCATTCTGCCCTATGGTATATTGTGTATTGGAAATATTTAAGAGGTTAAAAGGTTCAATCCTTGTGGTTGACAAATATACAAATTTAAAAGTAAAATTATAATGTGTGCGTTTGTGTGTTCTCATTATTCTAAATAAACATAATCTTTACGCTAACTTTAAGCAAAATATATTATAATGAACAATTTTTTAATTTGTCTTTTTACGAACACATCTAATTTTCTCAACAAACAATATATTTCTAGGTATTAATATCTAAATAATTACATATGTTACAATATGTTATTGAAAAAAAATGTTGAAACATGATAAAGTATTATGTATATAATTATAATTAAGTGAATAAAAATAAAGTATTATTAAATATAAAATAGTTTGGTAGCACATAAAAATAACTAGCAAAGAAACCTCGGGCTTCGTCCCAGGTCGATTTTTTTTACAATAGAAGGCAGCAAGAATTAAACTTGCCAAACAATATTGTTGCTAAATTTTGAAGACTACAAACTTTTGTAATAAGGGACAAAAAGTATAAGAATCGAAAAGTTGAGTGGTAAATGTCTATAACAAAGAAGCTTTACTATTCCTTAAACTTTTGAGAAATTATATATATATATATATACATATATATATATATATATATATATATATATATATATATATATATATATATATATATATTATATATATATATATATATATATATATATCTTGATGAGTTGATAAAAAAACAAATGCTCTAATCCTATGAGGCAAAAAGAAAGTAACAAAATTAAGTTTTAATTACAACTAGCAACTCACTATCCTCGTTTCGTGGGGGACCGAACTTGTATAACTACGAAAATGTATGGAACAAATCTGAAAATAAACTAAAGTCGTGTTGCCAAAATGTGAAACCAAAAAAATGTAAGGACAAAACATGGAAATATATTGTCGGGGGCACAACTTGCGGGGGGCGTAATCTGCAGATTTTATAAACATATGGACCGTTTCTGATATATATATATATATATATATATATATATATATATATATATATATATATATATATATATATATATATATATATATATATATATACGGTCACATTTTCTATAAAGTATAGGGATAATTTTATAATTTATTTTCTACATAGGATCAAAGTTACCAATATAGAAAATATTAAACACATAAACCATTTCTGTTAAAAACTAAAACTGCCAAAACAATAAACTATTATCACCAAAAACATAAAAACAAAAACTATATTCCACTTTGTATAATAAACTGTTGTCACCAAAAACATAAAACTAAAAACTATATTCCACTTTATACGTAGATATAGTTAACAATATAAAAGCATTTCCAATACATAAGAGTTGTATAATTGGCTTGCTACTATTAGATTCGCATACAAATCTTTCAATTTCTTTAATACATACAAGATTACAAACCTCATACACCTCCAACTCATCATGGTCCAAGGCATGCATACAATCATTGTATGGGGATACAACTTCAAATCTTCACCCTCAGATGCATACAACCAAGCCCGTCTTAGAGGGTGGACGATAAGGGTGACCATCTAGAGCCCATCTTTTAAAGGGACCTAAATTTTATTGAAATTGTTATATTTAGAAGATAATATAAATAATTTTCTTTTAATTTTTTATTTATTATAAAAAACACGATGTGTAGCACCTGGTTCCTGGTACGTAAAAATTCATCTTAGTGTTTTTTTCATTTTTAGCCTTGGACTCGGCGAGTTGTAGGTCCGACTCGCCGAGTAGAGACGTGATCCGGAACACGTTTAAGTTGGCGACTCGGCGAGTCCCCGCTGTCTGATGAAACCCTAAATTTCAAGGGTTTGCACCCTTTTTAAACCTTCTTATCCGCCCCTAAGCTCGCCCCCTTCACCCTCAGAGCTCCCAACATCGTTTATACCCCTATTCCTTGTGAGATTGAAGTGTTTTGGTGTGTTCTTGAAGATTTTGAGGAGAAAGAAGAGTAGATCAAGAAGAGGAGAAGGAGGCCAGGCATCTTTGTCATCTCAGCGTTTTCCTTGAGGTATAACTTGTTTCCCCTCTATTTTCATGCTTGTAGTCTTTATTAGCTACATGAAAGTCCTTATTGAGCCATTCCCCAAGCTTGTTTGTGCATTGTGGGTTGTAATGAGTTGTTAGCCTCTAGATCTAGGCATGATTGAGTCCCTGGAGCTTGGATCTACTGCATTTATGGAGTCATATTGCATGAAAGCCCTATAACTACTCTTTTGGTGCATTTTGAGCCCTAAAACCTTCATTGGTGATTATTTACACGTAAAGTTGGAAACTTTACGTGTAATTCATGCCCTAGAAACCCAGATCTGTGAATAGCATGAGTTGGATTCAAGAAAAATCGAGTGTATAGTAATTGCATGTGGCCGACTCGGCGAGTCGAGTCGCGAGTCTCCGAGTTTTTCCCCCTTTTTGTGTTTGCGGGTTTGAGTAGTGAGTCATAGGGTGTGACTCAGTGGGTCGGAAGCTAGACTCACTCATGTAGTAACTCGGCGAGTCAATGCCATGACTCGGCGAGTTCAGGGCAATCTTCTTGCCTCAAGAACAGACTCGGCGAGTCTCAGCATAGAGTGTTCTTCGGATGAAGAAGAACTCGGCGAGTTGTTCATACAACTCGGCGAGTAGGATGAAGGACTATTGGCCTTTAGCTTGGAAGGAAAACTCGTCGAGTCAATGCCAAACTCGACGAGTAGAGACAGGATAGTGGTCAGACAAAGGGATAGGGACTCGGCGAGTTGACAGGCCAACTCGGCGAGTCGGGTCAACTGGAAGATGACTTTGACTTTAACTCATGGTTTGGTTAAGGGTAAATGGTCAGTTTACACTGAGTTCGGTTAGTAGTATTTGACTAAGTGTTTGGTGGGAATTACAACCGGAGGATTTACGGAGCAGCAGCAGCAGACAGACCATTCCCCACACAGATCAGCAGCTACTACAAGGTGAGTTACCTTCCAGTAGCGGTGGGTCTAAGGCCACAATACCGGCCCACCAGTAGGAGATGTATGATAGATGATTGTCTTTGTGATATCATATAGGTTTGCTACTACCTGATATGTTATATGCTAGCATGATATGTTGTATGTGATAGTAGTAGAGTTCGGTTGTTAGGACCGAAGGGTAGTCAGACACCCCAGGTACGTCTAACAGTGTGTGATGATATGTTTTGCATGCTGGCTAGTTATGTTATATGTGATAGTAGCAGTAGGGGGTGAAATAGTCCCTGAGGTTCGGTTGTCAGGACCGAAGGGTAGTCAGCATCCCAGAATGACTTGACATGGGTAGTCAGCACCCCAGAATGGCTTGACACAGGTAGGCTGGCACCCCAGAATGGTCGTACCGGGTAGGTCGGGCACCCCAGAAATGTCTGGCAATATGTATGATATGCGATTGTATGGTATGCGGTATGATGGGGGAACTCACTCAGCTTCGTGCTTACAGTTTTCAGTTTTGGTTTCAGGTACCTCTTCTTCGAAGGGGAAAGAGTTAGCGCGGTAACGGCCCATCACACACACGCTTGTATTCCGCACCATGAGATCTTCATGGGGATTGTACTTTGACGTTGTTATGTTTTTATAAACTGTTTTCCAGACACGCACACTTTTATGAAATGATGTGGTTGGTGTATGTTTTACTACTAATGTTTTACTAAGTATATGTTTTCAAAAATGAAATTTTTGGCTCGTATTTTCGGGATGTTACATGATGACATTTGTGTTTTTAAGAGCCCATTTTTTTCTCTCGCCCTCGGTCTAAAATATGTTTGGAACGACCCTGCAAACAACTCTACTTTTTCTTATTAATTTTAATAATTTTTATTAAATAATTTATATATTGAAAATTTATGAAAGTTATATCAAAATTTATGAAAATTATACAAAATTTATAGTTTTTAATTCTCATAATTTTAATATATTTTTTAAATATATCTAAAACTCCCAAATAAAATATGTTATTGGTTGTTTTAGGTAGTTAATAAATGGTAAAAAAAATTGAGTATGATTGGTTGTATATGTTAATGAAATAATACATATATTTTAATGAAATAATAAGGTGTACTGGTTGTAGATAAATATAATAAATACAAATATATTATTTAGTTAAAATATATATTAGTTTAAAAGGAACTCTCATCTTTTATATATATATAATATATATATATATAATATATATTATATATATATATATATAAATATATATATATATATATATATATATATATATATATAATATATATATACCTATTTTTCTAGACCTTATTTTATATATTTATATATATATATATATATATATATATATATATATATATATATATATATATATATATATATATATATATATATAAACACTTACGATCTTATACACCTTATTTTTCTAGACCTTATTTTAACAAAAGAAAAACATATTATTGTGTTCATATTTAATACAATAGTTATAAGTACAATTCAAAAAGCATTTAGAATAACAATTTACATAATAAAAAGAGAAAAAATCATTGTTACCGATGATCCTTAATGATTTAAGGTAATTTGTGTATTTATCTCTAACTTTATTTTTTTAATTCGGACGGTCACTATCATATGTTTTTGTATGCATTTGATCGTCTGTATTTTTTTAATTAGTTTAATGTTAATAGTTATTTACTATTAAAAAAATTGTTTAATAAGACTAATGGGTTCCACCACCACTTGCCCTCTTCTTCCTTTCATGTTTAGATATTCCTCCCCTCACCCCACCCCTCCCCTTGCCCTCTTCTTCCTTTCACATTTAGATATTATGATGGACAACTTTCTCATCTTCTCTGACAAGAAAATAAAATCGAAAATACAAGACTCATATTTCTTGCTTAAGCTACACAAAACTCAAACTCTCTAAACATTTTACCTTCAAAACCCATATTTCTTACTTCAAAACCTAGACAATTGAAAATAGAAACAGGAACAACCTTTTAGCTGGAAATCAATTTCTTGCTTCAAAAACGTATCCAAACCAGTAAACCCAGATTTCTTGCCGACTTCAACGGTTTGCTGCTAGAGAAGGGAGACGAACTTGTTATAGAAACAACACTTGAAACATTTCTTTATTTGTAAATATCATGATCCCAAGGGAAAACAAATGTGGCCCTCCAAAATACCAAAAGAAAATGACAATTCATAGCAATCAAAAGTCTTATTTACAAAAAAAATATCAATTTGTTAAGAGACCAAACCTATCAACATAGGAAAGCCTTGTATAAAAAACAAAGTCTCGAATCCAAATAGTATATTATTGCTAATCTCGATCAGTTTTAGTATATATTATAATTTGGGTTATTATTATAATAATATGTAAATAATAAAACCTAAAAAGAATTATAAAAATATTCGGCAAGGGCAATTTAGTATTTTTATGTCCTGCATGGACCAAACACATACATATGATAGGGATTGTTTGAGTTAAAAAAAAAAAAAAAAAAAACCACGCAAATTACCCGAATCCACAAGAACCATTCATGTGATTTATTTACTCTAACAAAAAATACGCTCCAAGTAACCTGCCTGTCACATCCATTGGTATAGAAAAAATAAATAAAGAAAGAAAATGAAGTTCACATGCAAAATGAGAAAAGCAATAAATTTGGTGGAGGGGGCTGGCCTATGAATATGATGATGGATGATGGATGGTGTAATGGGGAAAGAATAGCAACATCCTTTTATAAATAAGTTGCTTTGTATACAACACTGTACATGGTCCCCCATTGCCAATCATCGATTTACTACTACACTTGAATCAAAAAAAAAAAAAAAAAAAATGTGTTTGCTAACAACTTACTTATATTAATATTTATTAATTAATATTAAGATTTAAGCCAACACAAGCTCCCCTTGGTCTTGTTGCAACTCTTGATCAGCTATAACTCGTCCTTGCCCCTCTTTGTCTTTATACGGGACCAGAATCCGCTTTATGTCTTCTGCATTCAGCGTCTCGTATTCCAGCAGCGCATTTGCCAGCGCATGCAACGACTTCTCGTGCTTCACAACCACCATTTTAAACAGGTTATAAGTTGACCCTTACTATATGCAACAAATACTTTCATTTATTTCTTTATTATACCATCATACTTCCTATTATTTACAACATTCTACTTTTGAAAAAATCTACCCCCAATTATAGGCTAGCAACGTCACCCAAAATGAATGCCATGTTCTTTCAAGGTACAATGTCTTGATAAGAAAAAAAAAATGAAAGTAAAATGTCTTGATAAGAAAAAGAATGAAGGTAACACCCTATAATAAACATATACACAAAAAGTATGTTGACATGTCTTGCAATATAGCCCATAAGATAAAAGTACAGATTTTATAGAGCAAACCTTCTTCAGCAAGGATTTCACTCGTTCATAAGCATCCTTTAGGAGTTTGACGACCTGAAATTCAGTAACAGAAGCAATGATCATTTGTCTGTTTTTAGCCTGTTTGTTACAGCAAGACACGAGGATGGATATGAAAGAACAAATTATAGTAAATTTGACATGGATTGGACTAAAGCTGGGACCGGTGTTAATGGAACAAAAGTTGCAATTTTTGTCCCACCCAAAAAGATGGAACAAAACGCAGCCTTAAAGAAAAAACATTGAAATTCTAGAAACATACTTCAGCATCGATACGCGATTGCATCTCGGAGCCTGGTCGCTCTTTAATATGAATTGGCCCAATCACATCGCTCATACCACAAGACGATACCTTTGAGACAGACAGCACAGCACAGCAGAGATAAAGATAAGAAGAAGCACATATAAATATAATGATGATGATGATGATGATGATGATGATGTGGAATGAAGGCAAGGCGAAATAGATACCATATATTGAGCAAGTTCTGTAGCAGACTGAAGATCGCTACTAGCACCGGTGGTAATATGGTCACGCCCAAAGATAAGCTCTTCCGCAACACGTCCTCCCATGCAAACATCAAGACGTGCCAATAATTGCTTTTTGCTTACAGATGTCTCGTCATTTGAGGGCAGCTGTGTCACCATTCCTAAAGCTGATCCACGTGGCATAATTGTTGCCTTGTGAATTGGATGTGCACCATCCGTATTCAAGGCAACAATTGCATGCCCACTCTCGTGATAAGCTGTCAGCTGAACGCATATCCACAATACATGTCACCATTCAGTCTCGCTAAATCGATATATACATATATAATGAAAGTAGTGAAAGTAGGTTTGTGTGTTTGTTATTATTATAATATAAATAATGGAAGAAAAACCTTTTTTGAATCTTCAGATATAAACATGGTTTTGCGCTCTGTACCCATGATTATTCTGTCCTTGGCAAACTCCAACTGCGCGGCGTTCAATTTTTCGGCACCTTCAACAGCAGCCTTGATGGCGGCCACATTCACCAAATTTGCCAAGTCTGTCGTTTTGCAAAAAATGAATAGTCTTATGAGTCATGATGATGAAGCCACTATTATTTATTTCTTTGACTTACCAGCACCGTTGAAGCCGGGTGTACCCCGTGCAATTGCCTTGACATCAACATCATCTGCAAGTGGTTTGTCCTGCAAATACAAATCCAAAATCTCTTGACGACCCTTCACATCTGGATTTTGGACCACAATCTGGAAAACACCTCCATCAGTAAAAAGGTTGATCACACCCTATTTCATTGAAGATGCTTACAAAATATGTATAAAAAAAAAAAAACTTACATGCCTATCAAATCTACCAGGCCTTGTTAAAGCCGGATCAAGAATATCGGGCAAGTTTGTTGCAGCCATCAAAATTATGCCCTGTTATAAAAACTAAGTGTTCATAGCTCTGATTATGAAGAAGAGGGGTAACAAGCATATCGAGTAAAAAAATAATAATAATAATAACAAAGGACTTGACTTTTTCGTGTGTACCTCATTCTGTTCAAACCCGTCCATTTCCACAAGCAGTTGATGAAGTGTTTTCTTGGTATGACCTTCCCACTGCTTTCTAGTGGATCCAACAGCATCTATCTCATCAATAAAGATGATGCATGGAGCCTGAAACAATCAGCAACATGTTTAGTCTAAAACATAAATAAATCTGTTCTGATTCAGAAAAAGGACAAGACAAGACAAACCTTCTTCTTTGCTGCTTGAAACAAAGATCTCACCCTCCGAGCACCCACACCAACAAACCTAACACAACAGACACCGTTTATCATTCTGATACAAGTGCTCATGAAACTCATTGTTCTATGTCATCATGTAGGCAATTTGAAAGCATAAAATTGATAAAGCTGTTCCCACAACACAAGCAATCGAGCATCATTATGTTTTTTATAAAAGTGTGATAAATTTTACTTACATTTCCTCAAACTCGGAACCTGCACGATAGAAAAATGGAACCCCAGCTTCTCCAGCAATTGCCTTAAAAGATAGGTATTTTGTCATAATCAGAACATAAAAAAATTGATTTAATGTAGTAGTAACAGAATCAAATTCTAAAAGTCCAAAAAGGGAAGAAAAAAGATATGGTTGTCCATAGTAGCATTACCAAATAATCAAAGTTAAATCAAAGTTAATTCAAGCACAAAAACAACAATAGAAACGTACACAGAATCTTTTACACTTTACCTTGGCAAGTAGAGTTTTCCCTGTTCCAGGTGCACCAGTCAAAAGTATCCCCTGCAATTATCATTTATTTCAATAATCAATTTTCTTAGTAATTACCAACTGCATAAAGTTACTTTACAACATTTGTTTCAATAATCAATTACCCAAACCAAATCCGATGAAATATTTACTTAATTACAAAGTCATATACTATGTAGAAAGCACAAACCTTTGGCAACTTCCCACCAAGTCTAGTGAACTTCCCTGGATTTCTGAGGTACTCTACCACTTCCTCAAGCTCTTGTTTGGCATCATCACAACCTTTTACATCCTTGAAGGTTTTCACATTCTGCACAAAACCAATTCATAACACATGACAGACTTGTTCCTTTTTACAAATTTTCTCTCATATATACTATAGTTTTCCTTCCATACAACTTCTACATTGAATTCCAGACTTGTCATGATGTGAGGTTAATGTTTACTACACATGTGAAGCAGAAGAGAACTGAAGATGATGTTTTACCTTCTCGGGTGCTATTTCTTTATTTGATTCTTTTGGGGTGTAAGAAGAACTTGACCCAACACCAGAAGCTCCTATACCACCTAAGCCACCAATATACTTCTGAAGTGCAGCAGCACCCATTACCCTGAACAAGGAAAATCAACTATATTTCAAGAATAATTCAAAAGAAAATAAAAAACATTACCATGTGACATGCTTTTCCACCAACTGTATAGGTATCAAAATAGATGGGAGCAAACCCATGTAAATGGCATATGCATATAACTAAAGATAAACACTTACCACATTAAGCCAATAGCAACGGTGAATAAGATCGTGGAGATGAGCTCCTGTGCAAACCGTGATGATCTATTTGACACTTTTGGATCGACCTGCAAACACAAGAATCACAAAGTTCAAACTGGGTAGGACCAAGAATCCCTTTACACAAAGAATTAGAAAGATAATCATCAAACAATCACTACATAAATAACTGATCATCAGAAGATAATATCTATATAAACTCTCACCATCATTACATGCAATGGCTGTCTCTCAGATATGCCAGGATTTAAAAATGACTCGTCTAAGTTTCCAGATGCCCTTTGCTTCAGTTCTTGTAACTGAAAGTAGATTGTAAAGCAACAAAGTTGAGAAGATGGGGTGTCTAAACTCTAAAGTACCAAAAAAAAAAAAAAAGGAGAATGAAATAACTTCTGAACAATGGGAAAAATGTACTTACTAGTGCAGGAAGACTGGAAGGCTTTCCAGATTGCTCATCAGGAAGATATTCAGCAATGGCATTAGTGGCTACCAGAGCTCGAATATATTCTGCAACTCCTTTACTGTCAACTGCATATTGCCTCTGCTCAAAACGTCTTATGACGGATTCCGGACTGAAAATAATAATTATAATTATGATTATGATTATCTTATTATTTACTATCAAAACACCTACTATATCACAACAGCAACTAACTAATAGTTACACAAAGGATAAGATGCTTTATTAGACTATCCGCATATGAATATATAGTAGTCAAACAGGATAAAAAGGTTGAGCTTTTTTCACCTGTGTTTATTGAGCTCAACCAACAAGGCACTCTGTTTCGCAGCATCCTTCGGATTCAAGTCTGCTTCAGAAATTAACAGCTCTAATCTCTTGTCTTGCCGCCAAAAAGGCCACCAACTAAACCCATCCGATAACAGCATTTTCTCGAATCCAAGCTTTATCCTTGCGAAAAATCCCATTAAAAACACAAGCAACGGTAGTTTCCCCTTCTCCCTCCCAACTTCATCTCCTGCAGCATTTATCTCACTCTCAACTTCATTCAAACATTCTTCGCTATTAGAAACCTCATCCTCTCGAAAATCGATAACTTGCCCCTCCGACTCGGGTGCCAGATTGTGATTACCATTACTCGATGAAGCTAGACTCGAATTCGAATCGACGTTTTCTTGATGCAATGCGAAGAAAGGGCGAATTTTTTTGCGATAACTTGTTGAATGGAAAGAACCCAAATTAAAAGAGTGAATACGGTAAAATTGAAGACGTCTTGAGTGAGGCACTAGATTAGAAACTATTGGGGGTTTACAGATGAGAAAAGCTTGAAGAGCAGACATTTGCTCAGAAATTAATTAGGGTTTATGAAAAAAGTTTATCGATGAAAACCCAACTCGGTTTTTTATTAAAATCTTGTTAGCTAAAGTGAGCCACACAATCGGTGAAAGAAAATAAAAGGGAAGGAGGATCAGGAGAGAAACCTTATCTCCCAGAAGACGACTGAAATTGGCGCTCTGGTTTTTTTTTTCTATTTTTCTTTTCTTTACTTTTTAGGTTTTTATATATTTACGATGTGATTGGATTCATTATTAGGAAACGAATACGTGCTCATGCTCCAATCTTGGGTGGGTCGGTGCTCGTGTGCTGGGTCCTTCCCTCCGACGACATCCTTTTTAAACGAAGAAAAATAGGGGTTGTTTGATAATTGTTGATTGGGTTAAAGCTCACTGGATTATAAATTCTGAGTGAGTCTACATCTAATCTAGTTTATGTTGTTTGATTATTTCTCTGATTGTCTATACTGAATAATAAAAAACAATCATATTACCCTTATGTTGTTTCTTGTTCTCAATAAAATATTTATAAAATTACAATTGCTTCATTGTTCTTAATATAAACTCAACCAACTGCAAATGCCTATTAGCTCCAATCACAGAGATTACAAAATAATTATAAAATTCTAATAGATCTTTTGGCAAAATTGTTTCAAAATCATTCTACAAAACAAAACAAAAGATGCAATTACAAAATGCTTTTTTTCACTGTATTCAAGAACTTACACAGAAGATGATATTAAAAACACTCTTGACAGGAGTTACATGTTTGTATTTTTTTTTTTTTTTTTTTTTGTATCAATAATGATGAATCTGCAACACTTGGTTTCACTAAAAAGGAATTATGAATAGAACTAACAAAAAGAAAAGAAAAGGCAAAACCAGGAAACACACCTACATCTTCTATTGATCTAAAGGAAGACATTGATCTAACACCAAATGAAGAATATACAACACCGCCACCAATATAAACCTTTTTTAGTGTCTATGATACATCCTTTTGGCAAATTTGTCAATGATCTTTTGATCTCATCATCGTTTCATCACTAATAATGTTGGACCTGTGAAGGAAAAAGTTGGATTACAAAGTCACATAATTTTCTTCAAATCAACATTGTTCCATAACACCCACTTTATGTGTAGAAGAAAGGACACTCAATTGGTAAGATTAACCAACATGAAGTAGACAATTTCCTTTTCCAATATGATACCTCAAATTCTTAATAGATACCCACTCTCAAAAGCTTATAAAAATCAACGCAAACATAGCCCATGAATTTGATTACAATCTAGGGGCGGAACACGGACCCCTTAACCGGAGGGGCCGAAATCATTGTTGATTTTTTGTCATTTTGATGTTGACTATGTAAATATGATTTGCTAATAGTTAACAAAATAGTAAAAGAGAATAACAATTTAATAATTATATTTAAATATAACTAATATTATTCTAACTATACTAAAATTACATTTACAAAATTAGATATCGTATATTATTTACATTAGGAGATCGTTTCACTAATTTAATTTTTTTTAAACTACTTTCTTTTCTCTAAATAAATATGAGCCTATATCACACAAAAAATAGCAAAGTTTTATAATGATGTAGCTAATTTTCTTCAAAATGATGCGGTCATGTGTTTATCTTTAAAAGTGGTTATTTTAACTTTACATATAAAAATACGTATATCATTTTAACTTGGGGGCCAAATGGTTACTCAACAAATAAAACCAAAATTTTATATATATATATATATATATATATATATATATATATATATATATATATATATATATAATATTAAGGAGGTAAAAAAACAGGGGGGCCATGGCCCCCCTTGCCATATAAAGGATCTGCCACTAAATCTGCAACTTCAAGAAAAATAAAATGAGCCAACTTTGAGATTGAACAAAAAGGGTTAATTACTAGTGATTTAAATCGTTTTAGCAAGTGGGTATCAACAGGAAACATTTAATTGATCGACTACAACATGTAATTCACATAAAATTAACCAACATATCCATCCCCCTGTTATTCGATTTTAACCTGCAATCAGATTCAAGACGTGTGTGAAGATTGCGATCGATTCAGATGGTGGTTAGGGTTAGAGTACAGAAACCCATAAACATTTATATATTTTAGAAAAATGGTAATACCTGCAACTTGATTAACATAAAAGGGGTGAAATATGGTTTTCTTCTTTGGTGTCATGGGAGGGAGAACAATAGAGAGAGACGATAGCTATGATCGATCATGAGAGAAGGGATTGGGAGTTCGGTGGTGAATGAGGTGGTCGGTGTTAGAGAGGACGGTGGTGGAAAAGCTGGTCGACGAGGCTGAAGAGCATCAAAGACTCGATGGAGAGGGCAGAGTGAAGTTCATTCAAGGAGAAGAAGAGCAACCGGGGAAAGGAAGTTCACTTTGTCAGTCAGCAACAAATTTTTTGAGGACCAAGTCAAGATGTTGGTCATAGTTAATCGAGTCAGCCAATTTTAAACCCCATCAAACACTTTGACTTCTGATTCGGTCAGCAGTCGGCTTTGATCCGACTGAGTAAGTGCAAAACAAACAACCCTTAATTCTTGTCATCATCAAATGATCAAACAATAACCATCTAGTGGGAGTGGGTTCGGCAAACCACTCGGTAACGTCGTTAGGCCGAGGACTCAGCATGCCGAGTTCGGTTCGACATGTCGAATTCGGCTCGGTAACTCGGTAGAATTGTGTCAATGAGAGAGAGTGTGTATGTTTTGGAGAAAATAAAGAGAATGCGGGATATGCATAGGCAATGATTATTTTTTCTTTTGGCATGGTAAGAGTGGCAATCCACACCACATAAATGGAAAAAATTAGAAAGAGTGTGGCAAATTCTAAATGGTGCCTACGTGGATCATGACAAACTTGGCACCACTTTATATTTAACTACTCAAATACTATAACATTTAGTTTTAAGGTGCATGATTACGAGGTTTCTTTATCATTTGAATGAAGTCACGGTGTGAGTAATGCCCCTTACATCGTGAGCCAAGGTTGACCTGTTGACCCATCATTCTTTGAATCTCACGATGTGAGCCCTTGTTGCTCACAATGTGAGAGTTGTTTGATGACTAAAACCCTAATTTTTCGGTATTTAATGGAATGAGAGGGCTAGGGTTGTCCACCCTCAACCCCCCTCACACTCTAATCCTCCAGAAACCTTGATATCAATCATTCTTGAAGCCCTTAGTCATTTTTGGTACATTTTCTAACTTGAAGAAGTAGTGAGGAAGAGGAAATAAGTGCTCTAGTGGTGGAGTGGGCAAACTATCATCATCATCATCTTTTCTTATTATTGGACCTTTGTAAGTACCAAAGGTTCAAACTTTATTGGATATTAGGGATAAATCTAGGGTTTGTCCATATTTCTTCATGTTAAGCATGCTTGAGTGAAGTGAATCCATAAAGTTAGCAACTTTATGGATTTTAAGGGTTCCTTGATCATAATATTGTCTACATCTGGAATTTGGTGAGGTATAAGAGCCATGCATGAGAGTTTGCTGCATATTTTTCCACTTTTTGACCTATAATGGGTTGTGTCATGCATGGTGCAAGCTGACCATAAAGCAAACATTTTTATGGACCTTAGGGGTCCTCTTTAGCTTCTGTTTAACCCTTGGAAATGGAGAGGTTCCTTGTTTCCCTTTAGGATTAAAAGAATTTCATTTTGACCCTTATAAGTAGTACGTAGGGCATACAACAGGGTACGCTTAGCGTACTAGCTGAGAAGCTAGTATGTGGGGCGTACCTCATGTGTACGCTTAGCGTACTAGTGGTGGATGGTCGCATGTTTGAGGCCTCGTACATTGGGTGTACGAAGAGTACGCATGGTGTACGAGAAGGAAAGAAAAACCCTAAATTTAAGGGTCGTACCCTATATAAGCCATAATTTAGCCTTTTTTGCCTTGTTTAACCAGCCTACTCACCCTTGAAACCCTAATTTGTTCCTTAACCATTATTTGGGTGATTTTGAGCTATTGTGAGGTTTTTGTGGATGGTTTTTGTGAATCTAGAAGAATAAGAAGAATAAGCTTGAACACTTATTCTTTGGAGGAGGGTTTTGAGATCCAACTTTAGCACCTTGTTTTGGTGGCTAAGGTATAAAGTTCAAACCTTGCCATTGCATTTCTTAGATCTACTCATTGGCATGCTTTTGGCCATTTTGGTACTTTTTGGTTGGTGATTAAAGTTAAGGTCGTTTTTGAGCTTAGCTTTATAGATATGGTCATATTAAGGGTTCCTTGGGCATAAGGTGCAAACTTTATGGTGGTTTTGGTCTTATGCATGTATTAAGTCATTTATTAAGCTCTTTTGAGATCTAGAGCCCCATTAAGTCATGCATGCACATAAAGTTGGCAACTTTATGTGATTAACCACCTTAGGGAAGTCAGGTCTAAGTTTAGATTGAAGTCTTATTGGATTAAGACCTAAAATGGGAAAGTTGGCCAAGTTGGTGAGTAAGTGGGGAGTACAAGCATGTACGCTGTGCGTACAAGCTTTTTAAGTTGTATGTTACACGTACAGGCTGAGTACGCTCAGTGTACTCTGCAGTTTGGATTCTTTTGGGCTTCGATTTTGGGCTTGAGTGGGCTTGGTTGTCTTGGGCCATCAGAATTCATGGGTTGGGATGTTGAGATTTTGGACTTTGTGGGAAAATTCCCATGAAAGGGATGGGGCCTAATTTGGAAATTTGGGCCTATTGTAACACCCTGTTCTGAATCCTTATCCATTTGAGTGTGGGTAATGGGATGTGGATGGTTCGGGCATTCGTTGTTAGTTTTCGAGTCAAGGGTATTTTGGTAAATTGGCAGCGACCCTTTATGGAATTTGGATTTTGTGTTCAGGGAGCTTTAAGTCAGGTATGAGTTGATAATAGTGTAGGGATTCTCGATACATTTTCATGTATATAAGGATATCGGAGTTGTATCAAATAAGTTATGGCCTCCGGAATGGATTGGGGTTTGAGGGAAGACCCTAGTACGTGGGGAGTACTAAGGGCGTATGTGGGGAGTACTCGTACGATGAGGGTTATGCCATGTATAGTGGAGCGTACACTTAGCGTACTTCAGTGATGGGAGCAGTGTGCGAGACCTCGTATGGTGGGCGTACGAGGGTTGGAGGGAAACCCTAATTTTCGCATTTGCACCCTACATAAGCTTGATATTAACCCTTTTCCCTCATTTCTAAGTCAGCCTCCACAGTCTAAAAACCCTAAATCGACCTTGTAGCCTCTTGGATGTG